TATATATATATAAATATATATCTATATATATATACAGTATTTGCAAAAGAAGAAATAAAAAATAGAGTTTTTTTTTGTTTCAGCCTCCTTTGTTCAAGGCTCTTAATAGCAATCCTTCATTGCAACTATAATTGAAAGTCTTTTGTGGAGATGTCTGATAAGGCTTTGAACAGGTTGCAATTGAAATTGAGCTTCCCTCCATCCGGGACCTAATACAGTCAGAAGAAATGGTAGCTAACCTTCCTGCAGACCCCACACATCCTGTACACACACTACTTTAACTTTCACAGAGCACTATGTGTAGGGCTTTGTTATATGGCCCAAAAAAATCTGTTTAAATCTCCATGGCAATATACAATACAAAATGAAGAAATCCATTCGAATCCAAGCTTTGTGCCAAATGTCACACAGGAACATTTATTAACAAACAACTGTTGATGCACATGAGGAAGTTTAATAGGAATTTTCCTAAAAGAAAATGAGTGAAATGGGGGGTTCAAAGAGGAAGGGAGGCAAAGCAATGTGAAGTTTAATTACAGTCGATAAAGTCTCACCTAATGTCTCTTTTTTAAAAGTCTCAATATTTTTTCCATCTCGATGTTTTGCCCAGCGCTAAATATTTACAAAAACAAATCACCTGAGAAACTTTGAACACCTTAAAGCCAAACAGTAAGAAATGAAACAACAAAGATAAATAAACAATCAAACTTTTCCTTTCCTTCATTTAGAATGCAAATAAAATAACAGCTTTAAACAAATATATAACTAATGTCTGTACGCTGTAAGCTCTATGATTAAGTTAAGGTTCCTGCTTGCACTTAATGAAGGTCAAACAGAAGAGAATCTGATTTTGAGACAGTTTTCGCTTTTTTAACACTTAAATGACTGCAAATTTAAACAACATGTATCAAAATACATTTCTGTCATGATGTTTTAATAAGATGTCCTTCAGTCAATAAAGTCCAGGCACCAGTCTTTGAAAAGGGGGAGAGAAAGACTGGGAGGAGAGACAGGCTGGAAAAACCTATAGGTGATCTGACGTTATTTTGAGTAACAAACAAGAAAGCAACTGTTACACCACATGAAGCATGTGGCTCTGATGGTGAGTTGGCAGATGTGAGAGAGAGCAGGAAAAGAGAGAAACCGATGAGCCGCGTTTCACAACAGAGAATCTGAGCGAGTGATGAAACCGGTCCACAAGGAGCAGCAACAGGTGTATAATTAAGCAACCGTGTCTGTGTGAGTCTGTGTTTGTGCGCGTGTTCCTGTGATTAAGGTTGTTGGCGGGTTGACAAGGACTGACCAGCTGTTGTGTCTCATCCCAGCATCACAACAAGAGCAGAGGAAGCAAAAGAGACACAGAGTTATATGAGTGGGGACTTTCCAAAATTAGCTGTTTCTTTTCACATGGAATAAAATTTAAGTAAGTTATCCTACACAAAATTGTAAAAATTTGTGGCATAGTTTTAATTGAGACCTTCCTAAAAGAAAAAAAGGTCATGTTCATCATGCTGCAAAGATCTAAAATCTTACCACATTTTTGACAAATGAAAAAAATGTTTAAGATATGATATGAAAAGTGAAAAGTGTGGCATCAATTTAAGATCTCTTTACCCCGGTTTCACTTCTGGGCCCATGATGCTCTGGGATGCTTATCATTAGGAAAGGTGGTGCTGGTTGGAGAAGATGGAGAAAAAAGACTCAAAGGGAGAACTTTAAATGGGAGCTCAGGTTGACCTCTCTGCTGGACTACGAGCTCAAAAACACCCAGAGCAGCAAAGAGAGGGATTAGATATGAAAAAAGTAAATATGTGCTAATATAATCCAGTCAAAGCCCTAACCTGAATACAAATGAGAATCTTTTGTAAGACTTTAAAACTGATGTTTCAAGATGCCTTCCATCCATCCCAAATGGAACTACTTTTGGAAAGAGGAACAGACAAATATTTCACTGTTGATATAAAAGGTTTGTCCAGCTGTTCAGTTTACAGAATTCTTAGTTTTAGTTTTACCCAAAAAAATTATATTAATTTATATGTTCTACCTTTCAAATGGGTTAAGATTTGATTAGAAATGTTATTTTTATGTATCATGGAACAAATCTACACTTATATATATATATATATATATTAGTCCACTTAGTAAACCAAAGCAGCCAGAACCACTCTGGGCCTCAGATCATAGCTTAGTCACCCACTGACCAAACACTTGCTGGGACTTTCCATGTCACTCTGCTTGAGCCTGTTCTATAAATAGCTATTAAACAGACCTTAGGGACAAACCGCAGCATAGTAATTACTGAATGTTTCTCAAGTTCTCACAGTCATGCATTGTCAGCCATAAAGTCCTACCTTTATATATATATATATATATATATATACATATATATATCACCATTCAATGTAACAGCCCACATGGATGCAACTTAAGCTCAATCAAGTGTTTAAGTGCAATCTAAGTAATGATCACTTCAGCTAGCCAATGCACTTTGTGGCCACATGCAGAGTGAACAGCAATCTCTGCTTATGAACATCGCAATTAAATAATTTTATTGGGGACTTCCAGTGCTTTCATGCCACATGTGAAAAGTCTGCAGCATTGGAAAAAAAATACATCAGCAACAGGAGCAAACTTAACAACTGCCTGTTGCTTCTTGTACAAGCAGAGGAGGGTACAGTACAGAAAAACTATTGAAATTATGCAGTTAGAGAGACTTTATATGAAAATGTTGGCATTTTATAGACATAAATATATAACAAATATAAATAACTGATGTGTAAAACACAAAAACAAAAAATATTTTCCATATCTAGATTTTTCAGCATAAACATGATCAAATCAAACCTTGCAGTGAGAATTACATAAATGTTAGGACAGGGTAGAGAACTTTCACTGACAATATCTACTGTTTATTACAGTCATATGAAAAAGTTTGGGCACCCCTATTAATCTTAATTATTTTTATTTCTAATTGCATAAAAAATAAAAATGATTAGGGTATCCAAATTTGTGCAGCTGTCAAATTTTGTTTGAATGCATACTGCACATTTTCTGTTTGTCCAATAAACCTAATTTCAATACTAAAATATTACTGTGTCCATCAGTTATTATAATAATATCAAACTGATATAGCTGTTACAAAAACCCAAATATTTGTAAATAAAAATGATTGATTAATAGGGGTGTCCAAACTTTTTCATATGACTGTATATTTTCATCTGATTGCTGAACAGCTCAACTTATTCACAGTAGACGGGGTAACCAGAAAATATAGTCAAGTAGGAGCACAGAGACTTTTAAGACACACTCAAGAATTATACTCAGGTAAAAGTAACAACGTTTAAAACTACTTCTAAAAGTACCTTTTTTTTTTCTTTCAAAATATTACTCAAGTAAATGCAGCCATTTATTTACTCCCCACCTCAGTGTACAGGCTAACCCGAAGTACCATTAATTAAGAGAGGGAAAAGAAATGGATCCCTGTATGTTGCTTTAATTCTAATTGCATCATTTTAGAAATGCTTACATTCTTTAGCAAAATAAACAAAAGCTCACCTCCATTGTTGCAGCCTTTTAATCCAAATGATTGCATCAACTGGATGTTTGTTGACTTTGAGGAAGAAGTTGCCGATGTCATCATCTTTCAGCCTGTATGGATTTCCTTTGACTGAAACAGTAAAAGTGCTTCCTCCTTGATCATATTTACTTACTTTTTTCAAAATAAAATGCACTATTCTTAGTTGATGTTACAGTTAATGAATAGTGTAACAGTAAAATTCAATCAAAAACAGATTTTAAATGTATCTTCAGTGATTTAATTATCTCTAAAACAGAGGTCATAATCAGTCAAACAACATTAGCTGTTTTCAGAATCAATACAAAGGCAGTTACCAGTCGTACCAATACTAACATACATTCACAGCATGGTTACACAGGGACAGGCACACACCAGATTACATGCAAATATAAGACAGGATGAAGCTAGGTAGAAATATTAAAATCACAGTGGGTATTATGAGGCTGATATGTTTGTTCCACCATCTTTTATATCCTATGTCCTATCATCTTTCTAATAGTGGCAGCCTGAACTTTTCCACTGTTCTTTGAACAAAAAAATATGAGCAAAGCAACCAGACTAACAATACTCTTTGTCTAAAGCTCACAAGAGTGCACAATAAATATTAATAATAGATAAACAGATAAATAAATAATACAATACGGCTCAATACAAACACAATCTGCTTTGTAACCAAATGCTCTGGAAGAATCTAAAGCACTTGTAGATGTATTTATAACCTTAGGCTTGACACACAGTTCGCTGGAAGGCATGAATGCATTTTCCCTTCATGCCCTGGAAATGTTTCAAACTGGAAATATATCCTATACTAATCAGTGCTGGATTCTGATTTTAACTACATTCCAGCAAACATGTTTATGTAGACCAAAGGGATTTTTTCAATGGGACTTAATATAAACCAGGTGGGTACCATAAACATACAGAAGATATAATTTGGTAATACATCTCAAACTCCTATGAGCTTCACTAATGATTCGGAGCTTTCATGCCCATCAAAGACCAATTGACCATCCCTTTACCTGTCTATATGGGCCCAATATTTTTTCTTGGAGGATTAAGGCTCTGTGTATCTATGTAATCATAATAAAATGTTTTCTGATACACTGCCTGAAAGTTTGGTATTGCAGTCATATGATTGTGCAAATCGTATCAGCTAAACTGAATGTATGTATGTGTTCCTGTCTGAGAGACTATAAATGTGATGCTCTGAAAATAGCATCAAAACTGGAGCAAGCTGTTCAAAGGACAACCCCTGTACTAAACTCAAAATAAATGTTCTTCTTGGTTCCTGTCAGGAACTTTATTGTTATATGGTTTACATTTTATACAGTTTGTTCAAAATCCACTGATTGTCTTGAGTTTTTCTTGACATCATTATCTTTTCATGACATCCTTAAAGCTTCACTCTTCTCTCTGTCGCAACACAGACTGGAGTTGATAAACAAAGCCACGTGTTGCGAGGAAGTTTCCAAAGTGGGCGGAGCTTACGCGCTTCCGGGTTCAGACTCGGAGGATAAAAGTGGAGCTGCGCAGTGTCAACACAAGCACACAAACGCACTTAACATTAGAAGGGACGCACAGAAACAAACTGTTTTTTTTATTATTATTATTTCTTTCCCAGAGCTTTTAACCGAAGGGTTTAGCTGCAAGTTACCGAGTCGCGATGCCTTTTCTCGGACAGGACTGGAGGTCACCGGGTCAGAACTGGGTCAAAACCGAAGAAGGATGGAAAAAGAGGACAGCAGAAGACAAAAACAACAACGTCTCTGTGGAGAGGTTGGTTGTTTAAAGTCCGGACTTTAGAAATGTAGCTGTCTGACAATACCACGCGTTGTTATTCCGCTTTTGAATTTAGAAACTGTAAATACATGATGAAGGAAAGGAAGGGGAAGATGTTTTGAAAAGAGTCCAAACAGTTTTGCAAACAAAGAGGCGGAGTGAGAGGCCTGCGTGTTGGTTTCCATCAGTGTTTTTCTGGTTGCTAAGTTTCTTTTCAGGCTAATCACCGAGCTAATAATAACCTGACAACACATGGGGGGATTAACAAACGTCTGCTTTAACTGGCCACAGTCCAAAATAACCTGCAGTCACTTCCTAAAAACACCAACACATCTACATTTGATGCAAATATGTTTTTGCTTTGTGTAGCTCATGTCTGAACTTCTTTTTTATTTATTTATTTCCAGCTTCTGCAACAAGGAGAACCTGCTGCTCTCTCTCAGCTATGACGTGTCAGCCAAGAAGAGGAAAAAGGATCTGATGAACAACAACGACTCCAAAGTCCCCTGTGAGTCTCTGTGAGGAGAACCGAGCAGGATGACCTGTTGTTCAATCATGCACAGAATACATTAGTTATATAACAAGGAATCTGTTCCAGATCAGAAACACAACTTGTCAGGATTTGTTTTCAGCCGAAAGATCAAAATGCGGGGAAAAAAATACTTTAACTATTAGTGTTGATCAGCGAATCAAACATTGTATATTGTTTTAACTCCATAGGAATTCCATTATAACATTGCATTGTTGATCATTTGATGACCTTTAGCGATTGGCAGGACTTCTGGTTCATTTCCAAACAAATATTTCACATTGTGTGCGCTACCAGATGAAATGCATAGAAACTGTCCCAAGCAATGATTAAAAAAAGCTTGGACCTGCCTCTGTTTCTGCAGCCTTATAGGATGCTGACCTCCAGGGTTGTGGACAACTTCTTACTCTGCAGCTTTTTTCCGCTTTCTCACTTTAAAGTTGATTGATTTATTGACTTTAGTGATCTCAAAGTGGAGAAATTTACTCGTTGCATCGGCTCAAACAGACAAAAGAGAGGAAGCAGGTGCCATAGGAAGAAAAAGGTGCATGGGATGTATACAGTATATACAGTGCTTCCTATTAGAACAAGAAAGCTACATAAAAGTGTATCAACCTCTACAGTTAGGTTTGGTGCATGAAATAAGGATTCACATAAAATCTCTTTATTTACTATAATGAAGAAGGTGCAATACATAATTTCATCCATCCAGCCATTTTCCGTCACAATTTATCCCAGCTGGGGCCGCAAGATTTCTGGTGCTGCCTACGGGCAGGAGGCGGGGTCAATGCATCATTTCTATTCTCTTAATGTTATGCTTAAAAAAAAATACATGAGAAATAAGTATTGCCATTAAAAAAACGTGATATCCTAATTTTCGAGCATTTTCATTACCGTCTCGTCAACAACTAAACCAGCTCTGAGATGGGATCTTATTTGTGGTGCGTGCCTGTGAATTTGTCCCAGAGCTTAGGGCCAGCAGAATGAGCACTAATATAAACACTTTCTTCCTTGTTTTTTCTCTGCCTCGCAGATTTCCATCGGGAAAAGTGGATTTATGTTCATAAGGGAAGCACCAAGGAGGTAAGACCAGCTCAATTAGTTTCCCATCAACTTTTGCAATCACAGTTGCTAATGTAAACAACTCCACACTCTTGCGGAGGATTGCTGTCTAATACTCTGATAATTAAATTCTCCCAGCGCCACGGATATTGTACACTGGGAGAGGCCTTCAACCGCTTGGATTTCTCAAGCGCCATCAAGGACACGAGGAGATTTAATTACGTTGTCAGAGTGAGTCCTGGTCTTTCTTTGCTTTTTAGTCACTTCTGTCTCTTTGGGTTTGCTAATGGAGGTGTGTTTGTCAGAGGTGGAGAAAGGAGTGGGGGGTTAAAGTTAAAGAGGGTGGGTAGACTTCTGGGGGGCTCTTATCAAGGCTCTGCAGACTGCAGGGATGATACTGAACAAGAGTCTGTGTTATGATTACTGTAACCTTCCAGTCATCGATACATCACGTTCAAATTTGTTTATTAAAGAAATCTGGTTCTGTAAGGTTTCCACCTGGAAAGCCCAGAATAATGCAAGCACAAAAGTGATGGTTTCAGTTGCATTTTTTTTTTTTTTCATGTGAGCACAAAGTGTCACCCTGTGGGTGGGGGTGAGGCAGTTTGTGACAGCTGTGCGATGAAGTGTGAACCCCCCAGCAGGAGTTTATGAAACCAGACCTGATGCTTGTCAGCTGATTCAGACCCCCAAACACGTACACACATGCACACACTTGAATCTGCCCGATTAAGCCTGCCGTCTCCTCCTCGGCTCTTTCTGCTTAGTCACTGGTGCGGCTTGTCTCCTCAGACAACATCATCTTAATGCTTAACGTTGTCTGCTTTGTGTCAAAACTCTGCAGAAGGGAAGGCATCAGGGTATCAGTTCAGTTTAAAAAACACAAAACATCCAAATAAAATTTATCAAATAAGCAGGAATTTGCTTTCTTTTAACCATCTGTGAAGAATCTAGTATGAAGCGCCATGCAGTTTGTTCGGCACAAAGAACAATACTGCTGTAACTCTAGTATGGAGGCGATGCCCGAGCCGGGTCGCTGCTCCTCGCTGTGCGACAGCATTTTGGGGTTCGCTGAGCTTGTTCTCTGTTACACAGATCACCTTGTTCCAGAGCAGACACGCTGAGGTTACCTCGACGACCAGTCAGCCTAAATGACCTCCTTCACACTAGAACAGCAGGAAGAATGAGCTCTTCTAACACATGTAGAGCTGTCAGGTGCAGTTTGTATGGAAAGAAAACAGGCCCATAACATTTGTTAGATAATAAAAATGAACTATTATGAGATTGAATTAAAAGTAGAAGCCATACATCTACATATTGAACTGGTCTCCATAGAATGATTGTGATTTAGAATCTAAAAGCAGACTTTGAGGCGCACATTGTTCTGCCCTGCAGCTCTGCACAGACAGCAACTCTTCATGAGCGGGTAATGGAGAGAAAGCCAGGGGATTAGGTATGAGGAATGGAGGAGAAAGGTATGTGGAAAGTTTAAACTGCCAAACCTACAGCGTAAGGATTCATTTATTATAAAAACAGTCGTCTGATAGAACCCCTAAACAAAATCTGATAATGTTGGGGGATAAAGAAAGAGGGTAATTTCCCTGTTTATGCCTTAGAGGTTTAGAGCAGAACAGAGCATGGCTCCAACTCTGATCTCTCCATGACGTCACAGCGCCTGTCAGATGCCAACTGTGCCCCCCCACCCCCCTTAACCCTCCGTTTGTCCATGAGCCAATGGCAACAACTACACAAACGGACAAAATTGACACAGTGAGAAATTCACATGACTGGAAGATCAGAGGTCAACTGATTCAAAGCTTATATTTTTATCAGCCAGTGTTGTTGACTGTTGCCAAGTGAATAGGGACTCTGATCCAGATGTATCAGACCAAAAAGTAATCAGTTTGTTTGATGGATCTTCAGTTGAGGGTAATGACAAGGTGAGGCGTTCTGGTTTTATTTAAAAAGGTGAAGAGTTGAAGTGTTTTTCTGGGAATCCAGTCTACTAAACATGAAGTAAGGAGGCAGTGGAACAGAGAGTCTTAGAGGCTGACGCAGAGAAATTGATGTTTATTTCTTCGTTTTCTGCTGCAGCTACTGGAGCTTATCGCCAAGTCGCAGCTCCCTTCGCTCAGTGGCGTGGCGCAGAAAAACTACATGAATATTCTGGAGAGGGTTGTTCAGAAAGGTAAGCCCCATCACGCCTCTTCTCTGTGTGCATCTGCTCTGATCGTTTGGATCTCAGATTGTCTCATTTCTTTCAGTGGGCCTGGTTTCCTGTGTTTTTTTTCCACCACCACCCTTTGCCCTTTTTTTTCATATCTTTGTGTTAAAAGCTTTTATATTTTATATTCAAAATTTTTGTTTTGCATCAAACTGACTGAAGCCTCTTTAAAGCAGAATTGAGTTACACAACCATACCTCCAGGCTTTGAACACAATAATGGCAGCATAATGCTGAGGGGATTCATCGCTTCGGCAGGAACATTAAGGCTGGTCAGTAGATCAGATGATAAATGGAGCTTAACACAGAAAAATCCTAGAAGATAAATACATTTAGGGTCTTAACAGACCATGTTAGAATAAAAAGCTTTAGATGGTTAGAATGGTTCAGTCAAGGCCTACATCTCAGTCACATCATGGATCTGGGGCAAGTTTCGAAAAGGTATTTTACTAAGGAAGATTGGTTAAAAGGGGTAAATATGTAGATATCCAAGGCATCAGGAGATGAACCCTTAGTTTTGTACCTGTGGTGTTAAGTTCCTGAGAAGTACTGCCTTGGAAAGACACTTTTCTGCTGAACAAAATCCAAATACGGTGCATTTCAGTTTATAGTTGTAAGTAGTCAGAATGTGAAAGGTGTCCAGATACCTTTGAAAAGTGCAGCGTTTACTCTTTTAGTTGATCAAATGAGCAAAAACATCTAGAGACAGCTTGGACCTGGTCTTTAATGGCCTTGTGTAGAATCCTGACAGTCAGCAGACCCCTCAGCTAGCCACAGTGTAAACCAAATGTTCCCTCTGCTAAACAGACTCAAGTTGTTTGAGGGGGCGTTACAAAACCTTCTGGCAATATAATGGAAATGCGTCTGGGAGGACTGCAGCCACTCTGAAACACTTTGTGTATCCCGTTTAATCTGATGACTCACCCTGAAGATGAACTGCCCAGCGACCATGTAATGCCTTAAGATATTAACCGATGCGAGTTAAACGAGGTAAAAACCTGTTCCGCAGTTCTGGATGACCAGCAGAACGTCCGCCCCATCAAGGAGCTGCTGCAGACGCTGTACGTCTCGCTGTGTGGTCTCGTTCAGGACATGGGCAAGTCGGTGCTGGTGGGGAACATAAACACCTGGGTGCACCGCATGGAGAACATCCTGCAGTGGCACCAGCAGCTGGACAACATCCAGATCAACAGAGTGAGCATCTGTCCACATTAAACATTTCCAGCATGTATGAATCTGTGGCGCACATCCCCCTTTAACAGTTTCTATCCCCCCTCCTTAGCCTACATCGACAGGGATGACCCTGACAGACCTGCCTTCCAGTCTGCAGCTAAACATCATGCAGCGACTAACAGACGGCAGGGACCTTGTCAGCCTGGGCCAGGTGTGTCCGGAGCTCGGGAACCTAGCTGAGGACCGCCTGCTGTGGAAGAAACTCTGCCAGTACCACTTCACAGACAGACAGGTAGCAGAAATAAGGAAATAAAAAGTTAAACTTCTTCATTGAGGTTCTGTATGCAGCTCTAGGTATTAGTTTTTAACTTTATATGTTTTTGAGAAAATAGTGTCAGGACTTCTAACAAACCCCTTTGGTTGGTTTGTCGCTGCCATTGTGGCCCAAATGACATCTTTTCCTCTGACGGGTTACATTTTTTAAAGTCTGCATTCTTCTTTTTTAGATCCGCAAGCGTCTGATGGTTTCAGAGAAAGGTCACCTAGAGTGGAAGAAAATGTACTTCAAACTGAGCCGCTGCTATCCTCACAGAGAGCAGTACAGCGACACCTTGCACCTCTGCACACTCTGCCACATCCTTTTCTGGAAGGTACAGCTCCCTCTCCGTCCCCCGCACTTTAATTCAGAACAAATGAAGCGTTCAGACTGGACGTCTAACTCTGGCTTTGCTTTTGTTCTTAGGATACCAACCATCCATGCCCGGCCAACAACCCTGAAAGCTACACCACCTCCCTCTCCCCTCAGGACTTTATCAGTCTGTTTAATTTCTGATCCCCTGCAACAAACACTCCCCTTCTCCTTCAGAACACCCCAGAAGTACGGACTGGACTGTACATACTGTTCTTTGTACATACAAATGTTTTTGTTTCATATCTCATTCATGTCCTGGATGTATATATTTACTTACGGCATGGATCTGGAGGGAACGCAGGCTGTGGGACAATTATGCAATTTGATTTACTTTTGAATTTTCGGGTGAGATCAGAAGCTCAAAGAGTTTGAAAAGAGATTTTGAATGTGATGGAGAATGAAAGGAATGTGAAAGTGGCTGGCCTGGGTGAGGAGAAGCTGAATGCAGTATTACCAAAAGCCAGTTTAACAATGGCGTGTGCCTTTTTTTATAAAACTTGAAGCAATATCTGCAAAATTCTAGTCTTGTTTGCACCTTTTCTAAACTTTGATATTGTTTTTTCTGTAGTGCTTCATTTTAAAGAGCAGTTAAGGTGTGGTGCTCTGTAACCAAATGTTTTTATTTTTTAGGATAAAACTCCCTATTTTTGTGAAGACTCCTGCATGTATTTTCAAACACCCAGCTGATGATGTGTTGTTTACATATTTATTTCTGCAGATTTCTGGCGAATGGTTCAATTATCACTCTTTTTTTCTATGCAAAGGAGGACTTTGTCACAGCTCAGACTTTGAGGAATAATGCACCTGCTATGCAATGCAGCCTGTTTTATGTTGAATAAATAAACAAAATAAAGCTAATTATTGCTGTCATTTATTAATGTAGGAAGGTGAGGTGGCCTCAAGACAGTCGGGACATTTACAAAGTTCTAATCCAAAACATTTTACTCTGATTCTGTGGTTAAAAAAAGAAAAAAGCATGGGCTTCTTGGTGTGGAGGGGAAGAAGCGTAGTATCAGTTTGTATGGAAGAGGTGCGCCATCTACTGACCAAAGTATGGAGTTTCAATGCAAAATAAGTGGTTTCTAGAGATTTAACACATTCTTTAGATTTCACACAGAAATGTGCATCTTTTACTTTTTCTGTTAAAATTTCAGTCATGGGGAAAATTATTTGAAAACCCTTGTTTTCTTCCAATAAAAAAGTTTTTTGTTTTTTTCCCCCCATATTTTTAAGAAGCTACAAAAATTAAACTAACTTTTTACTAAAAGTACTACTAAAATAATTGGCAATGGAATAAAATGAATTATGCTTAAAATAAATAAATCCATTTTATTTTAAGTGCATAATTCCTATCGTATTTTAGGGGATTAATAATTCAATTTACCATCTTGTTTACCTGCACAAATTTGGTGAAAATACTAAAATAGTAAGACATTTAAACATATTGTAATATCAGTTTTGGAGGCGCATCGAGTTTATTAACTAGTAAAAATAAAAATGATAAGATGCAAATAATGGATGTAGTTTTGAACACTAAATGAACAAAATCAAAAAAAAAAAAAGGAATGAATTGAACTTGTTTTTATTTAAATGTATATAATTTCTGTACTTCATTGACAATAGTTGTTAATGTGAATAAAATAGTTTAGTGTAGATTGTTTTTATGTTCAGCACTTTGGTTACCCGTTTTATGTGCTATAGAAATAAAGGTGATTGACTAATAACACCTCTTCGTCTTAATTCTTCATAGATTATCTGTATTGCGACCCCATGGTTGCTGAATCAGCGGCAGTAACCGACTCCAGCATTGGACAACTCTTTGTTCTTCAGTGGATCTTTGTAGACAATCCTCTCCAGGCTGCAATGATCCCTTCTGACTCTGATTTGGGAATTCAGAAATGAATCCAAAAATTAGCAGATAGCAGGTCTGAACAACTGAATATTGGCACCTTAAATCTAATCTAGATTGTAGCTCTGTATGTTTGCTGAAGGAAAAAAGCTTTCCAACAGCATGATTCTGCCACTAACATGCTTCACAGTGGGGATGTTGTGTTTAGGATGAGGTGTAATATTAGTAAGCTGCATAAAGGACCTTTTTTTTTTTATTTTGGTAATGGCTTTCTTGCCGCCACACTTTCATAATGAGCAATGTCTGAAGTGCAAATAACAGCTGTGTTGTCTGCAGAACCTAAACCTGAGCTTTTGATCTCTTCAGCTCCTCTGGCATTTGCACCTTTTGTTTTAGTTTTCTGATCACAGAATTATCCGTTCTTCATACATTATGCTGCTTTTTACTGTTCTCTAGCAGACATGTGAGGACCCATACTCTGTATTTTTCCTTGAGTGTATATTATAACCCAGTTCAGCTTTGATTAACATTTCAAACAACAGACTATAGCTTTGAATAATAAGGTCAAACACCAGTCATCCTTTACACTTCTGCTTTAATTCTTTAGAATATCTTTTCATTGCAGCTGGGAGAATGCTGAGGTTAAAAACATAACAAATACAGTTTTTTTATACAACACAAATGAAAGCCATTCCATATACTAAATGATTCATTTTTTTGAAATATAATTTATACAAATATGTAAATCTGACTCCTCTTCAGAAACATCTTTTAGCACATTATTGTGCATCATTGCACATACAGTACTGCTCCTGATCCTCAGGACTAATAGGTTGCAGCGATGGATGGATGAGCTCGCCATATGGAAGCATGATGCGCATGATTGGCAAAGGCATAAAAAACTAAACACTGATATCACTTTAAGGCCAGATAAATGAGTACCTTGAACACCATTGTCCGCTCGTCTTCATTTCTTCCTGCTTTCTTTCTAAAGTGTTGCTTTTTGTTTAATATTAAATGAAGGCAATGTCGTTAATACAGTCCATTTAATCCTTTATATTCTTTTAAAATTCATAATAGATCCCCTATAAAGCTCTTCCTGTTTTACCTTAGTCGTGCAACAATATGCAAGATCCATCATATCTGTGTAGGTTTCAGCCCTGGATGACCAAATATTGTTCTTAGATCACTCTGATGTAACGTGTTAACTCCTAGAACAGCAGCTGATGTAAGCTTTAGTGTGCTCATTTTGCAAAGGTGCTTTTAAAATTGTTTGCCTTTTAAATGGATACCTAACAGCTGACATTGAACCATTTGGTTACACGTTCAAAGAAACCACAGACCTGTAGCATTAAAAAACTCCTAGACGAATATTTCACCACTCCTCTTATCAGATAGGCTAGAAACTATTTAAATTAGGTGACTTCCTGTTACACACCTAGCTTTTAAATCTATTCCATACAGTTTCAATAATGTTGAGGGCGTGGCCACTCCTGAAGCTTTATGTTAGCCTGATTTATCCATAATAACTTTAAATCATGTCAAAACTTTTTTTGAAATGATAAACCAGGCCAGCATAACCAGAACCTCAACCATAATGACACCATATGGTTTTGAACAGCAAGATGTGCCGGGACCCGACGCAAAATTGCTTTAAGCTAAATATTAGAGGAAGTATACATGCAAGCCTGTATCTATCTTTTGACTTTTCTCAGATAATTTTCAAAGATAGTTACCCCCCAAATTCAAAAAAGATGCTTCAAATTCTGGTATGAAATAAAATCCATGCCAATGATCTGTAAACTCTTGAGCAGAACCCCATCATGTAAAAGCTGATCAACCTAAACAGTTTTTAATCAGTTATTTGGATTTTTCATTAATATAATTACTTTGAACCTACTTTAAACTAATCTCAATAATTTATAAGGTTACTAAACTCCAACACTGATGTGACCACACGCTTCTTTTTGATTTTATACACCTGATAACATCCAGGCTCACTTCAGGTCAAATTAATAAGAATTGCTAAAGGCATCTGGATTTGCAATACCCCAGAGATAAATTTAATTATTTCTCAACATTTAACTGTATTATTATGAACTGAATGCTGGCAGAAATAAAACTCTTCTTTTTTTCTCCAAGCCTACACAACCCTTACTATTAAACTGCTAAAGGCTGATAAAGACAGACACGATTTATACATGAAAAATATTGGTTATCCAGGACTGAAATGATAAGGCAGATATAAATCAGGCCCAATCTGTAATAGAATATTTCTGTCACGCATTGAGCACCAATAACATGTCTATATGTGAACGCTTTTCCTCTATAATAGTTTTTTTTAGTGTTTAACAATAAAGTATTAAACTAGTTCAAAAACTCGTTTGAGCTGGATGCATAATAATAACATTGCACTGTACCTTGTAAAAAAAAACAAAAGAAAAACATCTGTGCACATCTTCACATTGCATCCATCTTCTATATCAAGTATTGTTTAGTAAAGTGTCACTTCATAAGTGATATAGAGTAGTAATAACATTCAAAATGTTAAAGCCTGCTTGGTTTGTTTAGCTGACACAACTTTCTGCTTTTTTTTTTTTTTTTTTTTTACCCCGCTGGTTGACTGTTGTTGGATTATAAATGAAGAGCTAGCAATGCTACACCAGCTACACCTGACACACAATCCCAAAAACTTTCACCAATCATTTCACTTTGGCAAAGGTTTAGTTTCCTTGACATGAAAGAACCAACTGCAGAGGATTGGAAGGTGCAGAGAATCCCAACCCCCTGTCAGATACCAGGAGTAGCTGAGGAAAGCAGCCGTCAGTAGATCTGGAACCCCAAGAACATGTTTTATGAGACAAAAACCAAAAACTGGTAGAAGTGGAGAAAAAGTCTTAAGGAGGACTGAGTTACCGGTGTTAGTAAATGTCACAGAGCGGGTGGTTCTCCCTTTCAGAGTTCTGAATTATCCATTCAATAGCATCCCAGCCCTAATGATCCACACAGGGAAAAAGACAGTAACAGAATTCAAGCATAAAAGAATAAAATGAAACACACCTGCAAACATTACTAAGTGAAATTCTAAGATATATCAGAAACTAGAGTTCATGCAAAAAGCAAAGCAAAAACTTGACTTTGTGTGCAAAAATCATAACAATAAAAATGACAAACTGCTGCTACCTGTCTATGGGAAGTAAATGTTTGGAGTTGATTTTGGCAAGTATCTCAGTTTCTAAATGCTTTTAATCAGAGTTTAATTAAGTTTGATTGAGTTCCTGTCTTAAAATTTTCTTTTTAGGTTGATGAACTTATTTTCATCAACACAAAACGTTACATAAGCAGAAAAAGTGAAAACCGTGTTAATATTCCAGCTCTCTAGGTAGTCCCTTTTTATTATTAAAGGTGAATCGAAGAACCTTTTTCGGTTTGCTCATATGATCAAATGTTTTCCATCAGTATTGTACTGGTATTTATTTCAATATCCATGAAGAAAAATTCTGCTGCTGGTTATTTTATGTATGATCGGTCCATGCACATGCCTTACAATTAAAAAGATTTTTCTTTGCTTTTTTCTGGAATAAGTATTACCTTCTTAACATTTTGCACACCTTTTCAACTCTCTTGGAAACTTGTTCAACAAAGAAAATAACAAAAAAGAAACTAGCTGCTCAACATTCTTGTTAACTGACGTTGTAGCTCTATTGTGATCTTTGAGTCTTCTGCTCTCTGAACCACAAACCTTTTATTTCATTTTTGCAGAACGATAAATGGGGAAAAAGAAGAGGTAATGTCTGCCAATGTGTCAAGCAAGGTTTCTTTAAAACTGACATCTGGTTTATTTAGTTTGATATTTTATTATTTTGATTGTAAAAGTATAAGAGCCTATTCGGGGTCACATTAAAAACATGAGGGAGCAAAGATTTCTTATACATATATGACACATTCAACTTCTTATTTATAAAATCTTTTTTTTTTTTTGGCGAATTAAAAAAATATCTTAATCATGAAGACATTTGAGGAAAAAGCAGAGAGCCTTTTGTAAACACTGATGGGTTTGAAATGTGGCATTCTGTCATATTGCAACGATTGCTGTGATATTTTGCTGCAAATTAAGTAGAAGACACAAATAACTGCCTTCACTCCAATACGCCACCCCAAAAAGAAAAAACACAACCCTGTAGAGGATTGTTGGAGATCATTAGTGCAATTGGAATGGTCTAGTAAAAGCCCAGGCCTAAATCCAACTTTAAGTTCTCTCCATTCAGTCCGACTCAGCATACATGTAAGAGAGGCAAACATTTCTGTTTCTATGCTGATGAAGATTCTCAGTCATCCAGGTCATAATAGTCATTCCGTAAATGTTCAAAATAATCCACTGGACTTGGTTTCCAAGATTTGAAGACGTTTCGCTACCTCTCCAGGAAGCTTTCTCAATTCAAAAGTCTTCAAATGTCAAACGTCTTCAAATCTTGAAAACCAAGTCCAGTGGATTGTTTTTTAAACTTTTAAGGAATTTCTGTTTCTAGTTGTTCACAAATGGTGGAGTCATAACCAAAAAAGATTGGCAGCAAAACCTGCAGCCAAGGAGGTTCAGAAACTCAGAGAGCCTGAAACCGAAGACGCACCCGACTCTTTGTTTACATTTGTAAAAAGAAAACGCTTCAAACCATGCCTCACATCTTTCAGTTGAAACCTTCCATTGAAACTTACAGTAGTGACAAATAGTCTGACAGCATATCAGAGTGATATGCGCTGCCTCTTATTGATAGTTTTACATTTCTGTTAAGTACACATTATAACTGTTTCCCTTATCTTTTTTATTCATTTACATATTTGCTTCCTGCTTTGTTGCATCTTATATTTTTAACAATGGAACGATTTTTTTTTAATATGCCAGTATTTAATACAGCTGGCAAAATTAATTTTTAAAATATAATTATGTAGTATGTCTTAATTCACAATGTTTCAAGAAAAATATTTTGCCCTTAATGTTATGAGAAAGATCATCTCATGAAAATTGCCTCTTATAAATTAATCGTTAGTTGATCAGTAAGATCAATTAACTTTAGATTGAATTACTGATAGTTTGCCAGGCAGCTTTCAATTGTGCCAAACAGAGTTCAAAGTGTATATAAAAATAAAAAGAGTATATTTAGTCTTACCTTCCTGGCATTAGCAGACATACTTCTGACCATCATCCCCTCCAAATAGCTGCTCAGGCTGACTCCCTTCACTGTAATGATGGCCTCCTGTGTCAGGACAGTACTGAGAAGCAGACATAGGGAGATACAGAAAGGTAGATAAAAACTGATCACTGTGAAATCTTGGAAATGTGCACCAAAAAAAAAAATAAAACCTATAAAAAAACAAATCCATAAGAAATGACCTGCTAAACGGAGCGAGTATAACTTACACCTCAGGGTTTTCTGGGTGTGGCGTGTAAACAAGCCTCTCATCCACTGATATCAGGTTAGTGAGAGTTATCTAGTGAAAAAACAGATTTATATGTTAGAAACAGGACATTTATGTAGACTTTTATACTGAGAAAGAAGGTTACAGCTGATTCTTGTTTTCATTATGATGACTATGATGGCAAAAGTTTCTCACTTTACTCATTTATGGATTTCCAGGTTAAAAAGCAACAAAGTTCTGAACAAATTTTAAGGACTGACTCACATTAGTTGAGCACAACTCCATCTTTTTCTCCTCACGGTCTACTATGGAATGCTCCTTTACGTACGTCTGTGTCTGGTTGGTTCCCAGTATCTGCAGACACATAAATACTTTAGCCAGTCTGAAGAAAGCTACCTAAAGATCGGTGTTAGGACTTATAAATTAAATGCAGGTATATTTCTATGGTGTTTGTGACTGACCGCCCGAACAATACCCGGCAGCCCCCACTCTGTGCTGAGGAGCCTGTGGCTGTGAAGGCGTCCCTCTGCGTCCAGACTGCGATCCAGAACGTCCACCCCGACCACATTGGGGTTCATGGGGTTGGGGTACTTCCTCATAGCTGCCTTGATCACGGTCTCCCACGGGTAACTGCAAACAGCCATGGTCGAATAATAATGACACATGTTTGAGGGTAGGATCTATACAGGAAGTAATCAATGTGTCCTAGAAGCTGTTTTGTTACAGACAGAGAATCTAGGGAAATGTAGGGCAGGGATGTCTAGCTCTGATTCTCGCTGGTATTTCTCCTACTGTAGATTTTAGATATGTCCTTATTCCATGACAGCTGTTTGAAACGGCCAAATTACCTTCTTAGCATGTTACGTAGCTATGTATCGGTCGGCTGTGGAAAGAATTATTTGATTCAGGTGCACTGGATCTTCATAATGATTAAACAAGCAGGACGCTGGCACCTGAGGTCCAACTGAGAACCAGATTTAAGATGTGTGACAAGAAACAAATTTGATATTGGTGATATTAGGACAAGAGGATGATCTGCCTTTTGGTTTTCACCACAGACACATTTTACACATTCTGTGCCCGGAAATGTATCTTGGCTTTGTGGATCATTGACAAAACGCTCACTCTCAATCAGTGGAAATTAACTTTGACTGGTATTGTTCCATTGGAGGCGTTTTCTACAGCATTAAAGGACAAACCCTTTGTATTCTATCGGACCTGGGATCCATTTCTTGAATACCCAGATGCCGCAACACACCCCGCAGGTTGAGGTCAGGGCTCATGGTGTTATAAGCTATCAAACTTGATTATGTATCATTTTATTTGGTGTCCCTGATTATTTGATTGTTCTTTTGATCTTTTGTTGATGTTTGTTTTATTTTTTTTTATTTTTCTCTGCTTTGTTTTGTGTTTGCTGTTTATCATGCTAGGCTTGAATGTAATAATAATTGAACTTTATTGATCTCACATTGGAGAAATTAATTCTCTGCGTTTGACCCATCCCCTTGGGGAGCAGTGGGCCGCCATTGTGGATTACTCGGCACCCACCCGACTTACAGAACATTGTTTTTTTTGCTGTCCCTGTCGCTTCTGCTTTGCAAGAAAACGTTTAATAAAAACAAGTTTGAAAAAAAAAGAAAAGAAATGAGATATTGAACAAAACTCCGGCTCTTCTAGAGTTCACCTTACTGCAAAGCTCTGTATCTATCAAAAAACAAACAGAAAAGATCATGGGGCAGATGGGGCAGAGCTGATTGGTGTTCTAGTGTGGTCTGAATAGCAGCTAAAATAAAATGGATGAAAAGGGTAAAGCTGGGAGAGATGTGTCAGATTTAAAGTTTGTCAAAGTGTGTTGTGGATTAAGTTACAGGAGCAGATACATTTATTATTTGACTTTACAAACGGTCATGTTTAAAGCAGCATTAAATGGGTTTCTATTATCCTGTATGGCTCTCTTAATAGACAGTTTTTTTGTTTATTTGTTTTTCTTTAAATAAAGGTTATTTTTTTGTGTGCATGTGGAAAGGGGAGGGTTCAGAAGGAGGGGCCTTCCCTGGGTAACCCTCATACTAAAACCGCCACTGCTCACTGGTCCAACAACATGGACTGAGTGGAAAACAATAATTATGTAGCTGATTATTTCAGCATCAAATTTAACAACAGAACACAGTGGCACCAACCTGAAAACATGTTCGGTGCTCCAAATCTTCATCATACCAGTAACTGTCTTCTCCACACTGTTGGAGGGGAAAAAAAGAAAAATGCGAAACTACTCCTTACCGAACCATCATTGTTATGATAGAAGGAAAAAGATGGAGATGTTGGAACTGGGCCTGGAAGGTGGGATGATGGTCAATGAGCGGAGCGCAACTGAACCATCACCGTGCGCACTGTCATGTCTGAGCCGCGTAAAACAACTGCGCAAAAATAAAAAAAAATCCTCTGCTAATTCACAGCCAGAAAAAAGATAAAGGGATAAAGAATAGCTGGGACAAGAGCCGGTGCAGTGGGCGACTATCAGAGTGTCAAGTCACTGAGCAATATAACGCATTCTCCTTAATAATACCAAAATAAAACCGCGCAGAGCTCTTTAAATTACATTTTATTCAAAAACCAACCCTAGAAATGTCATAAAAAGTAATATATAGATGGATATCAGGCATGTTCGATACAGTAGTAGCTCTGGATAACAATTATCCTGATAAAAATGATTTCACGCTACTTTTACTGTGGTGAATCCACAAACTACTGCGCACGAGGCTCAGCTCTTCCTGTCCGCTCCGTCTGGCTGACGTGATGCAGCCGATGCTTCGCTGCTGCATCCGCCTCCCTTTGTGCGCATGCGCATAGCATCCCCCCTCCCTTCCCTACCTTCCTCCCTATCACCCCCTCACCCCCCATGACAAGTGCAGAAAGAAAAAAGGACGCTGCGTTAAGCCGCAGAAGGACACCACGAACCTCACCGGAAACCCACGTAATGACCTTCAAATTAAAAAGAATAAAAATTCCATTTGTAAAGTAAGTAAACATGAAATATGTAGAAATGAATGAGATGTGAACTTCAATTAATTAGCTTGACCTCTTTATTCAAGTAAAGTTGAAAAAGTATGTGCTCCAAAAACTACTTAAAGCATAAAAGTATAAAATAACCTCTAATAAAAACAGCCAGATGCAACTATATCAATTGAAAGCTCAATTTTTCGACGATGTGGAAAAATTCTTTGAGATATGGCCAAGGATGAGGGAGGTCTTGTTGGTCTCCATCTCCCAATACACTCTCGCCTGTGTCCGACCTTTCAGACATTTCAGTATCTTTTTCTGAATCCCACATTGTAGCATGGCATAGACAATTCACGTTTGCAGTTTGAAGAACTCCTGCTTGCTTCTGATGATTTCCTTTAGCTAACCAATGAGTGTTTGCGTTCTATGACTCATCCAATCACACTAGTTTTCACTAGATGTGGATGGCAATGATCTGCATTGGATGGCACACATGACATGAAATAAATATTTATAAACATTAAACCGAAGACGAGAGTAACGAGTAACGTTTGTTTTAAAAATGTAAGGAATAGAAAGTACAGATACTTGTGTGAAAATGTAAAGAGTAGAAAACAGAAGTAGGAAGAAAAATAAGTAATGGAGTAAAATATAGATACCTAAAAAGTGTACTTAAGTACAGTAACAAAGTATTTGTACTTGTTACTCGACACCTCTGTTGATTTTGTCTTAAAATGTTTATTTCCTATTAGTGTTTGTAATACTTTTACAGAAAAAAGTGTGCTGGTAACATAATAGCACATAGCTCTTGTCAGAGCTAATTATGTGAAGGGAAAAAAGACAAAATGCTAAATGTTGCACTTGAAAGATAAATAAGAAAACATAAATAAGTGCCAAGAAATAAAAATTAAATTAATACAGGAAATAAAAACACTTTAATATGTCAAATAAAATAAAGGAGACACTGACTCTATTTGACAGCACAGATAAAAACAGCTTGTTAAAAAATTTATTATTAGAGATGTTTAAAAGAAAACAGAGAGATGTCAATTTTATCTCCTTTGGTAGAAACAGTGTCTTTACCAAAACATCTCAATCCACAATGACACAGCTAGCAAGGCCATAGTTATGGATAGGTTTTGTCCAGTAAACATATTGTGTTAGGGAACCAGCGACAATCTTTGGTGCAACCTTCTGGATATTTATCAAATCTTACACTCAAATCTAAACTCCTAGACAAAAATAGAAACTAAAACACAAGTAATCTGCTTTTATGGTTTATTGATGTCAGCTTTTTTATTTTAATCTATACATATACAAAAAAAAAAGATAATTTTGCCTTTTTTTCTCTCTTTTTCATTTTTTGTCTTTGGGCTATATCATCTGTGCCACCTAATCTACATTCTGCAAGCTTTGTTGACTCAAACAAGTTTAAATGAGAAGTCTAATTTACAGCATTTGAAACCATGAATGACAGCAGATATAGTGAACATCAGCATGATGGTTAAAAAGTTCAGAAGTTTACATACTTAACATGCACGGTACAACTGAAAGGATGCAAGTACACAGCTCTGTGGTGAACCTGATAGGTCATTTTCTGTAATTAAGCCTCCCAGTTGCAGATAAAAAAGTATTTTAAAGCATAAAAACTACAGTACAAAATGAAGCACCTTGTTTAATGCACTTTGATAAAAATACAGTTGCATTCAAAGCTAATGTATGATGATTTGTGCAATTTTTCTTCATAAAATGATCCATGTCTTAGCCCCTTAATTTATTTTATTTGATATATATATATATATATATATATATATATATATATATATATATATA